CATTTTTACATTCTCGAAATAGTTCTGAATGTGAATGAGTACAATTTTATCAAGGTTGAAGAATCGTTGAAATTTGCCGAGGAGTATTTGGTCGAGAAATGTGAGGAACACCCGGAAATGCAGGAAAAATTGGAGAAGACATTTGCATTGTTGGCGTTCGACAAACCTGAAAACTCACCGTTCGCATCACTCATGGAACTGACACATCGGCAGATGGTTGGTTGTTGATTTGTTATCGAATAGTTGCTTATTAGTAGCAGTCATTAGTAGTGCACTCATATTTTGATGACATTTTTTTGATTATCGGAGGGTGGGATGAGTCTGCTTGTTTCAAGAAGTTCATCTGCGAGGGTTTGAAGGTTGCAACCGATGTGAATAGCGCTGTGCTGAAAGCACTGCACAAGCCGGCAATACCACGCATAGAGGCATTGTTCCGTATGATGGTATGGGCAAATCAACAGTTGACGCGTCATGATGATGCACCTGAACCACCCGATGCGCTGAATAAAATGTTCATGGAGCAGTAATTCTACCATCATTACCAGTTTTTTCTATCGTTTTAATCGTTCCCTTAACAAAGCATTCATTTATTCATGTTGTTGTCAATCGCATACTGATAAGTAATGTTGATTGTTTTCAACCCGTGAGAAGTGCCGATTTGAAGAAGCAGACTTTTCGGTATTATTCAATTGCATTATCTGAATTGAACGTATCCCAGTGTGCTTCTGTTTTAGCCGCATGAAAGAAACTGCTGCGAGCTTATTCAATGTTTATCTATTTATGAACATTATCTGCCTTTAGTATTTATTTTTACTTACTGTTACTTTTCGGTAGTTTATTTGTAGTGTATTCATTTCAGTTTCATTTGTTCATCATTTATACGTACTTTCGCCTATTCCATAACAGTTTTTGTAAATACTTTTAATTCAATAATAAATATACTCATACTGCAATCGAGTTCAGTCCCCTATGCATTTGAGAAAACATTTAGCTGCTTTCAAGAGATAAACTCATCCGAAGAAGCAGCAGATGATAAGAGATGAACGAACTCATTGTCATCAACAGCAAGTAATGTGCGAGTTACTATTGTAGATTAGATGTGAAGAAGTGTAGAATTTCATTCATTCATTCATATGTGAGTTGTTTGATTTAACTAAATGATTAGTTGATGATTCTATGTCTTTGACTTGAAGTTGTTGGTGGAAACGAATTAAATCTGTCATGCTAAATGNTTGTAGATTAGATGTGAAGAAGTGTAGAATTTCATTCATTCATTCATATGTGAGTTGTTTAATTTTACCAAATGATTAGTTGATGACTCTATGTCTTTGACTTGAAGTTGTTGGTGGAAACGAATTAAATCTGTCATGCTAAATGTTTATTTTTGTGAATGCAGCCAAATTCAAGCGAATAATATTGGCCAGATATACTTATAAAATGATTACCAATCGAATGAATGAATTCTCGAATACACTGTTGTGAAACAAATAATAAGTAATAAAAATATGAATTTGTTAAGGATTTTCATGCTGAATATTTATTGTCAAACAAATTCAAATGACATCAGTGTCGTAATGTTCAGAACCTGGAAAATCCAATGATGTGAAGAAATGATACTGTCACAGTGCAAACCTGAGAACAGCGTTAATTTGCAGATGATGATCATGATACTGCTAAAGTAATGCACAAAGGTACTGTATATTGAAATGTGTATTGCCGACCAACTGATTGTGAGATTCCTTCAAAAACTTATGTTAGCTATTTCGTTGGACGTAAGAAAAATCGCCTGACAATGTACATACTTTTATGAAACAAGAGATTGTGGGGAATCCGATGGTGTGAGGAAACGACTATGTTAAAGAACAAATTTAAGAACAGCGATATTTTGATTATGAGAGTTTTCATTGATCACTCACTCTTTTNAGCAAATCAGGATAGCGATTTGCACATCTTCACGACGAGAATAAAGCCACAAGTAAGATTATCGATCTAGTGAAGCGACACGAAAATTCATACAATAACTTATCGATTAACGTACTCTAATTAACAAACAGTATTCTTTGATAACGCTGCTCAGTGCTGCTATAATATTGAAACAGTTTCCACAAGCGCGAATAGCATCATCAATAGAGGTGATTGTTTCTGATTATATATACACAGAGGATCAACATTTTCATGAAATGACTGAAAATCGCACGGTAAAGTGATCAGTTACGAGAAATTGTTTTAATAGAATTAGTGATATTCGGTTAAATTCACGGACTAGAGCGATCTTAGGATTCGTGGAAGAATTTGTTATGATGATAAATAGCCCCATCAAAGTAGTGATGCTTGAAAGAAGCGCAGTTATTCATTCAGTGAACCATTACGAGTATATGGTGAAAGTTAATGAAAAATTGAAGCTATTGAATATTCTTTGAGGATTTCAGACGTATTGTCACCGATAGAGAGCAAACACAATTATCCAGGATTGGTTTTTTCAGAAAGATCTAAAATTTAGTCGTGAAATTCCTAGATAGGACGTTTTGAATTTTTTGTTTACATCGAACATTTCAAGGAAGAGTTACGCAAGTGAGAGGATACTCTTTTTTTAAATGGTCTTGTTGTCATAGTTTATTTAAATTATTACTAGCAATGCCATTAATACACACACGGCTTCGATTACCACTTCATTAGCTGGATTAAGCAAATTCCTATCATTGACTTCACTTCCACTTGAGCATGGAACATCGCTTGACGTTTTTTTGATGTGATGCATTCAGAAGCCTATTGCGACATTCCATTGTATTGACAATACATTGGTGTAAAAAGTTTCGATCTCTGATCAACTATTTCAAATTGTATCATCAAAAGGAAGACTGGATTTCGAACCGTTGCCTTTGCTGNCAGTAGTATTATCATCAGCTTGAATCAAGAAGAGACGTATGTGAAAGAATGATTGATACAATTGATACGTTCAACACATTCAATTTCAAAGCATTCGAATCGTTCTGATTAGCAAATCGCTTTCTAGCATTGAAGTAGTTAAGGACAATTTGCACAGAACTGCTGAATGAATAATATAAAGTATCTCAGCACGCATATATCGAAATGACCGACAATATCCGAACAGTGAGCAAAACCATTACATAACATTTGTTCTTTTCTGAAACTCGAGAATCTAATGGTTCAGAGAAAAAGACACGTTGCCATGGAATCTTGATAGTACAGTTAGACTAAAAATGGTGATCTTGAAATTGCTAATTCTTCATGCACGCATTGCCAGTTGATCAATGGGCAAACAATATGTAGGATCGAGCTGCTCAGATACGTGAGATGGCTTCAGAAAATCATCAACGCTTCTTGGAGTAAGCAAAGTAGCCCGAAAACGTAGATAATCTTGAAAGTGGAGAACCTCATGAAATCGATGTACGAAAAAACAACCACTTCATCGGGCAAATTTNGTGATGAATCATCATGGTCATTGCAAAGTCGCCGGGATAAGCACAAATATGAGGCATAAAACCGATCCCTATATCAGAATCATATCAGAATTCTTCGAACCGTCCGATTCAGCGGAACGTCTACATTCAGAAAAACATTATTTTGTTGAACAATTACTCTTCATTGAGGAGACAATTATTTTCTTAATGTTATACACTTTTCCACCTTCAAACCTACCGTACTCTCAAGTTTGCCCAACAACATATCAACTCAACTATTGTAAACCGTTCAATCCAGCAGATTCTCTAGATTCAGAAAACATATTTTGTGGTATTTATTGAGGAGATACAGCTATTTTATTAAAGCTATCTCGACTAGCGAAGTGACACTCATTGATATATTACATTATACGTTGATCGCTCGCTAGAGATCGATCTACACGTCAATATAGGAGTAGCGAACACCCCTTTAGAATGTACAACTAAAGAATACTTTCAAACACAGA